GGAAAAATCTTCCATAAGGCAAAACAGAAACAACTAACAGAGATATATGTTATTCAGCTCCATCACCTACTCATAAGACTTGGAAATCTAATTCTCACACATGAGAAGCCTTCTCATCTGTGCTTAGATTTATATTATAGACCATCTTCCTCCAACTGCTGAAAGATGCATCTTCCTGAAACTGTGTGGTGTACTATCTTCAGGCTAAAATTTCCCAGGTCTGTACAGAACAGTTTAGATGATGGGCTGTAATACTATGCCTGGCAACATCCCTGCATTTCAAACAAATTCTTAAACAAACGGAGTATTACAAAGTAGGCCACTTTTGCATCTCAGAAGGTGTTTAATTCTGCAAGCATACTCTTACATAGCTGTTGTGGCAGAAAGACTTAAGTTGGGGCTTGTATTTAGAGACAGTTGTAAAATACCAGCAACAAAACTGTGGGCAAAACTCTGAGAAGAAATAAAGAGTATCTCGCCTATATATGCCACAAAGTTAGAAAGAACTGTTGGTCTATATATAATTCAAAAGTCATCTGCAAGCTAGATTGTTCCCAACCCAGCTGAAGCACCTCTATATTTGTGGCTTGCCAAGATGTTTTTAAGCAAGCAGAACAATCATAGTTGCAATTCCTTGTGCACAGGACAGGATGGAAAAATGCCCCATACAGAGTGCTCACTGCCTCACAGAATACAGTATTTTACTTCTTTTGTTTTGGCTGATTACTTGCAGCTTCAAGAAGTCTGTGCTTAGAGAGCTAACATTAAATACACAAACTAAAACAAACTAAAACTGAAAGGACTGTAACATTCTAAACAGCTTTTAAACTGACTTCTTGGACAGGCTCTGGATAACTGAACTAGATGATGGAGACATAACAGAGAAAAGCGGGGGGAGTAACAAATCCTTGAAGGTAAAACATACTATTTAAGAAATAGGTAACTGTTTCCTCTACAGGGCAAAAAGAGGGAGGAAACAGACATCCAACAGGTCAGAGGAAAAGAGAAGCCTACCTGTGCAGAGTTTAACACTCAAGACTTGTAGATACAAAGCTTAAATTATGCCATCTCCTATATGGAAAAAAATAGTCTTCAGAACATTACTTCTACATCCCACTTATGAATAAACTCCTCTATTACTCCTCTAAACAGCTCTTAATATCTAAGAGTCTCCACACAGGGTATAGTGATCCATCGATCCCTATCCCACCAAGCACAGGCCAAACATTGCCTTGATTTGAAATGGAGAAGAGTTCAAAGGCTTTAAGTGAAAGTATTACAAAACCTCATCTCACATCAGAAAATCTTTTTCAATTTAGTATTCTGGCAGTGTAAAGCTTTGAAAACAAAACCAAACCCCCAGTCACTGGGTAAGATATGGTCAGTCCTTCCTTCACAGCTAAAGGAGTTAGGCTGAATGCACTCAAGGCCACTTAAAGACCTTCATTTTTAGTATCAGCTTCCTTACAGATGCAGTCACACGCACTTAGAACTGCTTTCACCACCACTAATGTTTGCAAATAGAAGTAAAAAAAAAAAATCAAAAATTAAGAAAAGAAGGCACTGACATTGAGCATTGTGACATTTCTTCTAACAAAGAATCAATCATATATAAGTTCAAAGGGAAAGATATTCTTGCATGGGCAACATAAGTCACACAAAGAAGCCAGTTCATCCTAAAAATCAGAATATCTGGAAATGAGAAGTATGGATTTTACAGGAAAAAAAAAATACTTATTTTGGATCCAGCTGTTCTCCTAAAAGGTTGCTTGTGATTACGTATTAGAAGTAAATCAGGAATCTCACACATAATTACTGACTGTAGATCGATGTTTCTCCTCAATAAGGGGAATTTTCATTAACTTAGCCCTATTCACCCTCCCCCAGGCTACTGAAGCCCTCAGCTGAAGAAATGGGAGACAAAAGATTTAGCAGCCTGTAGTTATAGAACAGTATTAGACACTGTTTGCTACCTTAACTGCTACCATCTTTTCACACGTAAGTTCTAACCACTGAGTGACATGATCCCTGCTTTTAGGCAGATACATCTATATCCTATACACATAAGGTAATTTTAAGTAAAACCCAAATTATGGAAATGCAGAAGTTAACTCCTGAATTAACTCATTTTAATCTGTTTCTTTTTCTTGCTACACAAGATATTTTAAATTATATGCTTTGGTAAATTATTCCTTTGAACGCGAAACTATGTTCAATTACATCTTCTGCTCTGTATTTTCAAAGAGGTTAACAGAATGAAAGTCCATCTAACCAATAAGACATTGGCTGATTATATCAACAGCCTTCTTCTCTTTAAAAAACTGACTTCTTATTCCCCAGACCTTCAGTAGTATCCACATAAACAACCTAGTTCCAGATTCAAGGAGGAGCTGCAATATCACGAGGTCAATCCAACTGCAGCTTACAAATGTCCATTTCTTGGACATGTAATATCTACATGTAAAATAAATCAATATAGGTGACTTTAGAAAGCAGGTAAGACACTCTACAGCAATGTAATGTTGACAGTTTCTTTACCACACATTACAGAACAGCTATTTTCAAACTAAATTAGCTGTTGTTAAAGGCAAGTATTTTCTTACATGACTGTTCAAAGAACTAGTGAGCCCAGGAAAGCAATTTCTGGGATAAAAATAAGACAGTTGATCTGAGTAAGAGTTTTGCTTAGACTTCCTTGGGGCTAGAATTTAATTCTGGGGACCTTATGCAACCAAAACATTCATTTCATTCATTTTTTCTGAAATAAATAAGGATTAAGTTGAACTTCATAGCAAGAGCTGATTAAATTTGCAGAGTTAGGTAGAGTTAATTCTTATGTCTATAGCAAATCATTCCCTTCCCTCCCCCACAAATGAGTATAACACAGCTTCCTGGCAAGAGCAGTTCTTCTAGGTGAAGTCTTAGAAAGCAAATTCCTGTGTACCATGTGGAAAGAACAAACATTCTACCCCTACCCCCAATCTATGCATATATACTAATAAAAAGCCAACAGTATTTTCTCCACAGGAATTAAGTCTTTTGCTTTAGAAGCTCTGAGTAATTTTCCTAACAATGCTCTTGATGATTCTAACTGCTCATTCCATTTTACTGGAACAATCTTATTTCTTGAACAATGCATACATGCAGTACTAGCACTTTACACTTTCTTGGGCAGATACATGTTTAGTTTTCTACATCTCCCACTTTTTTTGAACTTTAGGCATGGCTACATTTCTGACACAAAAACCACTACACTGGGTAAGCGTACACATGAGGCCTTAAAACATGACATGTAAAACTGATAAAAGCATTTATATGAGTAAAACTAAGTAAGTTTAGTAAAAACGTATTTCTTCTTATAGAGCTGAATGCTCTGTAAAAAGGAAGTAGCTTTTTGTTTGCTACACAAATTTTTAATAACTGATATTCTACACTACCTGTACTAAATGGACTGTGATGCCAAATGACAAAGTACACATGACCTAAACCAACTATACTTCCTGCATTACAGGAAAACCCAGACTGGAGCAGATAAAAGCTGAAGTCTTTGAAAACTGCTCAATAATAAAACTACTAATAAAATCCTTATAAACTTAGACACTAGGAAATGAGAAATAAATGTTAACAAAATAATACACAGCTGAGTAAATACCTGAGTGTACCAATTCTAGCTCAGTTTATCATTGGCAATAATGTATATTTTTTGATTGCTCTTTCACAGAGTTGCAAGAGCTGCTCTATGCCCCAATTTGCTGTAACCTTATCAATTTCACTCTGCAAATCCCAGACCCCCCAAGTCACATTACCAAGTGGAAAGGACTCTCCTACCCCAAAAAATCTGCCCAAGCTCTCCTCACAGAATCAACACTAAAGTATCAAGATAAGTTTTGATACACAGACATTTCTTCTGTTTTGTTACAGTCTCAATCCCTCAATGATCCAGTGGATTAGGAGCAGAAATAAACTAGTGGCCAATGCTCACCCCAGACTGATCACTGAGGTCAATTCATTCCTCTGTCACGAGCTCTCTCAATCCCACTTACAAAGTCTCAGAGGTAGAGAGGACATGAGGCCCTGAAGACTTCAGATTTTTGTATTGGGGTATGGTCTTTTTGTACATCAAGCCTCTTATGAAACAAAACAGACAGTAGAGTTGTACTTCTTAAATTTGTGTATTTATTATTTTAAGCAATAATCTTTGTCTCTTTGCTTGCCACTAACTTCCACATTATCTACCATACAAATGCTCAACACATGCTCTAATGGTTACTGATACGGGATTCCCAGGATGACTTGCAAGGCTTTGCCCTTCATTTGCCTATAAGAGAGAGACCCTTTGGTTCCAACGGCTGTCTAAAGAAAGAGAGCAAGACGCTTCACTCCTCCTCCCCACCATGCGGCAGTCACCACCAAGCTGAACTACGTTTGCCCTAAAACCCAACGCAGGCCTGACCCCTAGTCCCCTGAATCAAGAGAAAACGGACATTTTTTTAACTCAGATACTGCTTTAGCACGACTTCTACACTCAACAGATAGTACAAACCTTTAATACAAATATTTTTTTCTCCAACATTTTCATCAGGCTAGTGACATCTCCTCCCTTCCCTATATACACACACATTTCCATATTCCTGCCTCTCAGTAGATACTCTTCCCCAGCTCCCCTCTATGTTCACTACTGACATCGGGCCCCTTTCAGCCACCATTCCCCCCTTAGGCCAGGTTCTCAAGGGGATGGAGCGGGGCGGGAGGGTCGCTGCCTCACAGACGGGAGGTATTGTGCCCGGGCCATAACTTGGCCGAGCGCGCCTGTTCTTCCCTTTTCCCCTGTCAGAAGGTAACTCCTCCCCACTCCGGTCACTCCCGTCAGGTGCAGATCACCCTCCCCCCAAAGGAGACTCCTCCGGCCTTTGCGGGAGGACCCTCCCCAGCCCAAGCCCAAGCCTGACGCCCCGTCTCCCCGCGCCGGCCGCAGGCCCACCGAGCCCCCCCTCACAGACCTGTGGATCCAGCCATCTTGTCCAGACCCCCCCCACCAGCCAGGGCCTGCAAGCTATGCGCGTCACTTCCCCATGACGCAGCGCGTCACTTCCCACAGGGAAAACGCGGCTCTACAGCGCGGGAAAGACACGGGGCGGGGAAGCGCGCCAGCGTCGGGGGCGGGGCCAGGGACGGGGTGCCGGGCACCTTGCCGGGAGCCGCCGCAGAGTGGGGTTGTGCCTGTCGTGCTGTTGAGTTCCGCCGAGCCTGGAGCGCCGGAGTCGAAGGTGTCGGCTGCCGGAAGCGCCTTATGCCTCCTACACGGGAACCACAACGGCAGGCTGGCACTGGGCCTAGTGGCAGATCGGAAAAGGCGGATTTCTCCTTTGCAGGCAGCGAGCTCGGCAACAACGGGCTCGGCAGGAGCGGCATCCGCTTGTGACCCGTTACCGTTCAAACGGATGCGAAGGAGACGGTCACCAACGATGTTAGAAGACTTCTATGGAGCTTTCTATTGCCACAAGTTGACTGAGCCCAGAGAGGGCTCCTGAGGATTGTAACACTTTTCTCTCAGGCTTCATTTTAACAAGCATTTAGCAGCCTTAGAGCCACCACACCTCCTTCTCTTCAGTACATGGAGAATACAAGATAATACAAGAGAAACAAGCAAATTAAATTTCAATCCCATCTATCCAGAAGTTAACTCCTTTCCTCTCATGCCGTGGAAGGATCTCCAAGCTCCCTGACTTTCTCCGCAAGCACTACCTGCATATCCAATGCAGCACAGTATCTCCTAATCCCTTAACTTGAAATCCAACTCGCAATTTTTGTTTCCTGGTTTCTATTTGGTTTAGTGTGTCCTCCCACGATCCTGACTGCACAACTTCACTGTATACACAGGAAGTACATTTTGCTCGTTTCCTCATGCTGTTTCAACCTGGAAATACAAGCAGTTAAATACCTGAATCAGCAAGTGACAAAATCCAACCAGAAAAAAAAATAAAAAATATATATATATGTATATATATCTCTTGTGAAGACTTAAAATGTGCAAGCACAGATTTACAGAGAACATTTCCATGATACTTCACAGATCTGAAAATTCAGGAGCAAAGGACCCAATCTTGCTATCAAGAGTAACAGAATTATACAAAATTCCAGGCCCGTTTCCAATAGCCTACAAAACCCAAATTGGAACAAAAATAATGATTATTGCTCACAGCAGAAATATCAAATTCTGTTCATTATACACTAAGCTGCAATATCAAATACAAATTTAAGTACTGACTGAAAGCATAAAACAAAGATTTAAGGGCACATTAAGAAAAATAATTTGGTTTTCTCTATAAATTTGTTCATGTCTGTTATATTAAAATGTCAGTAAGTTTTGTTATTTCATGCAAAGATCATATTTTTTCATCTATACAAAATAACATGACTTTGAAAAGGAAAAAAAATATTTAAAACAATGTGTTAGGGGTTTTCATCTTAAAATTCTTTCCCATTTCTTTACACCAACATAAGAAAAAGTTAAGTGTAAATAGGAAACATTCTCAAATGCTGCTGTTTAGTCTGTAACAAAATACACGCTGAAAAAACACACTGGAGAATGCGGGCATCGATCCCGCTACCTCTCGCATGCTAAGCGAGCGCTCTACCATTTGAGCTAATTCCCCACCTGAAAAAAAAAACTCTGAAACTTACAGTTACTCACTTTACACCTACTGAAAACTGCAAGACCACTCGGTGATAAATACATTGTTTCTTGCCGAGTCACTCTTTCCACACACCAGCAACTGACTGCAACTCACAGCTGGAATCATCCGATACATCTTTCAGCATATACACTACCAGAATCATCTTACTCATCTCTTTTATAACACAAGTACTTGTTATTTAGCTGTTCTCATACAAAAAGCTCTCCAAAAGACTGAGTTATTTACAAGAAATTAAATGTTACTAAAAAAATAACACCACCAAAACCACAACAAGCAAAAAACCGAAACAAACCCCAAATCCACAACTTCAGTTGAACACGGAAACCCATGTTCTTTCCAATTTTCAAGGCATACACATGAAAAACCTGATTCAGGAAATCCTTAATGAGTGAAAAAAATATACGCTTGGTTGAAACAGTTTTATAGTCAACTGATTTAACCCAAAACGCAGCTCTAGAGCGCTAACTATTACTCCTACTGGCGCAACTGGTATACTTGGAAAAAGCTTCACAAGTCCTCCTTCCGATATCTGTCGGAAAGCTGGAACAACTGCACCGGCTCAACTACCACCCCAGCCTACCGCGCCACACCGACTGCCACCCGCCGGCTCGGGCAGCCAGCTGACGCATGCGCACTGCTCTCGCCCCAGCCAGCAGTTATGCCCCCCCTTCCCTGGTGAGCCAGGTCTCCCCGCGGTCTTTGGCGGTCCCTGCGGCAGCCGTGCTTCCGCCGGGGAACCTGCTTAGGGCGTCGCCTCCTGCCGCTTTGCGTCTACATTTGCTTCCCCGGTTCCTACGAACAGCCCTCTCCCCTTCCACAAACTCTGGCCCTAGGATTACCGACGCACCTGCCACCCGCCCCCTCGCTGCCAGCTCCTTTCCTGAAGCCAGCAGACAACCTGAATGGATTACAGGAGGGGTGTGATGAGGGTTCAGGAGAGGGATTGGAAAAGTCTCCTCAAACAGCCTGAAACTTGACCTCAATCATGTGAAGAAGCATGCGTCAACTTGCACATACACACACTTGATCAAGCCAGATTACTTGAGCTCAACCAAATTCAGGTCGAGTTCCACTTTGTATCTTCCCCCTACATATTTACAACAGAAGCCTCTCGGGTATCTCTCCAAAACATAAGCTTGCTACTGTGTACAAAGTGACATACCCATCAAGAGAATCAGGACTCTGGGTCTCTGGAGAGTGAACAGTTTTACAAGCTGCCTGATCTGACATGTACTTGTGCACTTCTCCATCAACTCTGTACAGTGTTCCACATACAGCCAAACCATATAGCCTGTAATCTACCCCATGGACATTTCAACTGTTGCTTTAACATCTTCATTTACGGAGTTGATTGTTCTTGTGCTGTGTCAGCACTACATCAGATACTGACTCTATGCAAAGGTAAGCCATGTTTCTCACTTCACAGAAGAACAGATGTTACTCATTGCATTCAAATCAGACTAAGGGGAAATCAAACCAGAGCAGGTGAGGAGGCAAGATCATGACCTGACTGGTTTCTAACCAGCCTGGCTTGTTCTTCATGCCATCTCACTGGCTGCTGGTGACATAAGATCCATTAGCTTTGATGCAATGGATTGCTTTCAACTGCAGTACATACACACTGAGTTGTTCCCAGAGCTGGATTCTTTGGCAAGTGGTATCACAAAGCAGGAATAACTAAAAGTAACCCACCGTCTCTACTCTGTATGGCAGTATTTACCCAGTGCTTGACAAGCTTCAGCATTGGTTTGCTACAGAATTTCTGATGGTGCCAACCACAAGAAAATAGGAAAGGGAAGAAAGAGTGATATTTGGTAGAAAAAACCCATAGTTGTCAGCTCCAAGAACATGAATTGTGCAAGCAGGAGTAAAAATCAGAAATAAAGCTGCTGTGGATTTATGTCCATCTGTAAGTTTAAGTAATGTTAGTGCCTTTTTTTAACACCAAAGCTAGTCTTCACAGAGCTAAAAAAAAACAAGTAGTATTTTGGGTGGACTGACTGAATATGTATAGTTTTTTAATGTTTGTAGAACATTCTAAAGATTAAAACCAGCATGAAATTGATGTATTTATAATACTCATGATATCTTTGCCATATAAATAATTCAGTTTTCTGTGGCAGCTGCTAGAACATGCACAGATGCTTCAGCTTGTTCTCTGTGTTGAAAACACTAGGTGGAAATCAGTATAGTTTTCTGGGTCTCAAAAGCTCACTGTTCTTTCAGACAGTTAATTAAAACAATTGATCAACTACTGGAAACAAAGCTTAAGGAGACCCTTGAAAGGCATTGTCAGCTGCACAGATCTGTCTCCAGACTTAAAAAATTCAACCCATAAGTGAAGTCTTTGAATAATTAATGCGGAAAGCTACAAATGCTGCAACTGTATTACTCACTTGGGGTAGATTTCTTACCACAATCATTTCATTTGTAGAAGAAACTATGATACAAAATCCAGCTGAGGTAAGGAACATTTTTCATGTGACCTTATTTATACATCATCAACCACACCATCAGACTCTCCTCTGTGTATGATGCACCTGGTTACTTGATCATCTGTAGGAATTTACAGTGAGGTAGCTAACCAACACTAATTATCCCATGGCAAAAGCCAATGGTTTGGGTTGGAAGGGACGGACCTTAAAGCCCATCCAGTTCCATCCCCCCTGCCATGGGCAGGGATACCTTCCACCAGATGAAGGTGCTGCTCCAAGCCCCATCCAGCCTGGCCTTGAACACTGCCTGGGATGGGGCAGCCACAGCTTCTCTGGACAACCTGTTCCAGTGTCTCACCACCCTTGCAGTGAAGTGCTTCTTCCTAGTATCTAATTTAAATCTTCAGTAACTTATTGGTTGGGTATTATTACTCTAAAATTAAAGGAGTTAATAATAAAAAAAAAAAGTCAAAATTAACCAACCAACAAAAAACAAACAAACAAACAAAAAAAAAAAACCAACCACTCCTGAACCTAAGAAACAACCCACATCTTTTTTTTTCTAATTTCAGAAAAGGTTAACATTTCCTCAAAGTTTTTCAGAGATGGCAACTATAAATTCAAATGCTGCTATAATCTTAAAGTACTGGTAAACAATTCATGTCCCCACTGATCTTACTTCAGGTTGGCTCATACCATTAACCTTTTTTTCATATCCTTTTATTCGTTTCAGAACTGTTGAAGTACCTGTAATTTCTCTGACAACATTTAGCAAAAGGGGCACTCATGAGCTACGGAAATCCTTTTGCCATCAGAAAATTAGCTCAGCTCTTACTGAAATGGATTTCTGAATAGTTGCTTTTCCTTCTTTTACTTTTTTTTTTTCCAGGAAAAGTATCTATAATACACAAAGATAACAAGGTTACAAATGCATAGGAGATGTGTTACTGCCGAAACTTCGAGACTCCCAAGGAACCGAGAAGGAAGGGTGCAAGTTGGAGGAGCCTAACCTACATTA